ACCACCACTATTTGAGAGACTATAAGTAGATAAGTATAATTTAAAGAATAATTTCTTCTCTGCTGGTTTTTTATTTGTTTTGTGCATTCCTTTTGTTCCAAGACAATACTGGAAATTGGACTGGCCTAACATATTTTTTAATTCACCTCCCTTGTCCTCAGAATATTAATTAACTGGTTCCCCCCCTTATTGTTAAATACTGTATTTACACATTCTATGTTACATGTTTTATTGAAAGTTTTACCATATATATATATATACACACACACACACACACACACACACACATTCTTTTGCTTTGGGGATAAAAGTGAATGTGAAAGTGTGACAGGGAGAGAGATAGCTGACAAAAGGGAAAGGGAAACTGGGAGAAAGCTGGGATAGCTGTACGGCCGAACAGACTCAGAGCTTGCAGGTGTGACCTTGAACAACTCATACAATACTGGGAACCAACAGATAAGAAATGTTGGGGCCAGACAGAATAACAACACGGAAAACAGTAGCTGCTAGACGGGCCAGTGTACAGCTTGGCAATAATGAGGAAAAGAGCGAGAAAGAACAGACATCCTTTTGCACTGCAGCTTTTAGAATTCAGGAAAGGGATGATGAAATTAATGCAAGAATTTACACAACAGGTCCATAGTGACATGGAAAAATCTAATTTATCATTGAAGGAACAAGTACACAGAGATATTGAGAACTCAAACAAAGTTCTAAAAGAACAGTTTGGGATATTGGGAGATAAAGTCAGCAATTTGGAAACAAAAGTAGACAAATTAGAAAAATTAAGAGAGGTCACAGGAGTAAAGGAGGAACAAAAAGGTATGTCAGGATTGGTACAAGGGGTTCAAGAGCAACACAGTGACTTAGAAGATCAGGTTTTACTTTTGCAATTACGAGAACGGGACAGGACGCTCAAAATCAGAGGACTACCAGACTCTGACTCTGAGCCAGTCCTAGAGACATATGTGACACAGGCAATTTCAGAGTGGATGGGGGAAAGCACAGATTGGCTGGATGGTTTAGTTGAAAGCTGTTTCAGGATTAAATAGTTTCAGAGCAGAGAACGGAAGCAGCCAGGAGACATTTTGTTAACACTAGTGACAAAAAAAAGCGAAGGATGCAATCCTTCAGAATAGCTTTGAAAATGATCTTGTGGTTGCTGGGCAGAAAGTAGGCATTTTTAGAGAAAATCCTCTGAAATTGAGATTAAGAAGAACAAAATACCGGTTTTTGACAATGGTTATTAGGAGAGCCTACATTAGATGCAAATGGGAATTCCCTGAGGGTATTTCCTTTACATACATGAAGAGGAGATATAAACTGACATCAGAATTTCAGTTGAGATAATTTCTGGATAAAAATAGGAGAGACTTAGTCCCCAAACAAGACAGGGGAGACCCCCAAGCTGAGCAAGAGAAAGTCTTGGAACAACTTGCACTGGAAGAGGTGGCATCAGGGAAAATAGATATTGTAACTGACTCTGAAAATGGCCAGTCTTAAATTATTGAGATGGAATGTTAATGGTTTAAATTGTGAAGCCAAACGACATTAGATTGAACATGTAATAGCAAAACAGAAATTAGACATACGGTAATTTGTCTCCAAGTGACACATATTGCAAAAAAGCACAAAAGGTCTTAATTAACAAAAAATTAGGTATGGATTTCATCTCATCAGATAAAACAAAAAAGAGAGGAGTTGTTTTTTATATAAATCCTGCACTTGAACCCAAATTGATTCAGAAGGACGAAAAAGGCAGAATTTTAATAATACAAATTAAAATCCAGGGAGAGAAAGTGGTATTTATGCACCTAATGCTAAAAAAGCATTTCCCCCCCGAAAAAACTAGAACCAGAACTACTTGAATTTGCAGATCAAAAGATTATCTTAATGGGAGACCTAAATGGAGTTCCAACTTTAGACAAAGACAGATCAGCCAGGAAAAAAGAGCCCAAAGAAGGTAAACTGCTAAAACTTTTTTTGACATGACTCAAAATCTAAAGCTGATAGATATCTGAAGAATGAGACATATGTTTGATAGAGAGTATACTTTTTTCAGCCATGTACATGATAGCAGCTCGAGAATAGATTCTGTATGGATTTCCAAAGAATTGGAAACAAGAGTCAAAAAGATTGAAATCAATCCCAGAACCTTTTCAGACCACAAGTCCCTGACTATGGAACTACAAAAAGAAAGCCAAATCTCTTTTAGATGGAGATTAAATGATGATTTATTAGATGATCAAAAATTTGTTGAAAAAGCAAAAAAGACACTGACGGATTATTTTGAAATAAACAGTCAAGGGCAAACAAAATTACAGACGGTCTGGGACGCAAGAAAGGCTGTAATGAGAGGACTCTTTATACAACAAAACTCATTTAAAAGGAAATGGGAAGAGAAAAAGAAATATTAGAGGAAATTATGAAAAAGGAGAAACAGCTGCCAAACAAACAAATAAACAGCTGCCAAACAAAGCAAATAAAGAGGCAGTAAAACAGGCAAAGGGACACGGGTGGCGCTGTGGGTAAAACCTCAGCGCCTAGGACTTGCCGATCACATGGTCGGCGGTTCGAATCCCCGTGGCGGGGTGCGCTCCCGTCGTTCGGTCCCAGCGCCTGCCAACCTAGCAGTTTGAAAGCACCCTCGGGTGCAAGTAGATAAATAGGGACCGCTTACCAGCGGGAAGGTAAACGGCGTTCCGTGTGCTGCGCTGGCTCACCAGATGCAGCTTGTCACGCTGGCCACGTGACCCGGAAGTGTCTGCGGACAGCGCTGGCTCCCGGCCTCTTAAGTGAGATGAGCGCACAACCCTAGAGTCTGGCAAGACTGGCCCGTACGGGCATGTCAGTGTTTGTAAAAAACAAAAAAAGAAGGAAAGAGTTCTGACCTCTCTTTGTCTCTTCAGCCTGGTCCTCGGACACTTGTCTGCATAAAAGAGTCCACGAGAATATTCTTGCAGAGTTTTATTCTTAAAAGTCTTTGTGCAAAACACGACTGAATAACTATACAAACCAGCACTAACCAACCAACCAACCAACCCAACCTCCAGACACCAGCCTCAGCACAAACTAACATTTCTCACTTATATATACAACTTGCTGCAAGCCGCTGAGTCATGCTGACCCAGCTTTATTCGCATTAAAGAAACAGCGGCCATTTTAGCCGTGACACCCCTTCTGTTTCTTAAATGAGAAAAACCCCAACAGAAACAATACATACATACATTATATACCTAAACCCAGTTTTGTCATCAATTCATTATGGCATGTTGCTGGCAAAGGCTTGGTAAACAAATCAGCAATATTATCTTGTGATTGACAATACTCCAGTTTGATTACCCCGTTCTGTACACAATCTCTCACATTCGCATGACGGATAGCAATATGTTTTGATGCGGATTTCATTATTTCTGAGCCCGCTAAAGCAATGCACGATTGACTATCTTCATACACTTGGATAGGCAAATCTACTTTACAATCTAGATCTTTTAGTATCTGTATAAACCACAAGATTTCGTTGCATGCTAGCGATAGGCTCCCATATTCTGCCTCACAGGATGAGGTCGCAACAAATCCTTGTTTCTTTGACCTCCATCCAATTGTGGAATTGGCAAACATCATAACCATTCCACTTGTAGATTTTCTGGTAGCTACACAGCTTCCCCAGTCCGCATCAACAAATACTTCTAGTTTTTCATCTTGTGTACTAGATATCTTCAAACATACATTTAATGTCCCCTTTAGATATCTGATAAGCCTTTTCAAAGCACACCAATCAGCAGTACTGGGTTTAGATACACGTTGGCTCAGAACATTTGTAGCACATGCAATGTCTGGCCTTGACCACTGGCTTAAATACAACAGTGATCCTATTTTTGAGTGATACAACTCAGGCTGATCAAATTCATCATCACACACTGTCTTTGGGAAATCTGGTGTCATGGGAGTCTGAACTGGCTTGCAGTTTTCCATGCCAAACTGCTCTATCAAATGAAGAATTTTCTCTTTCTGGCTCAATAGGAAGCTTCCATCAGCTTCCTGCCTTACTTCTACTCCCAAGTAATTGCTTACAGGCCCTAAGGCTTTAAGCTTAAACCTCTTTTCCAGTTGTCTTGTGAGCTTCTGGATCTCATCTGTGGAACTCCCTGCCACAAGCAAATCATCAACAAAGACTAAGAGCATTAGATATTTGTTCCCTGTCCCCTTGGTGTACAGACATGGATCAGCCACACTCCTTTTAAAACCAAGTTTTACAAGGGCTTCATTTAAACACTGGTTCCAACACCTTCCACTTTATTTGAGACCATAAAGAGCCTTTCTCAAACGCCAGACTGCACCATTCCCCTCTTCAAACCCAGGGGGTTGTCTCATTAACACTTCATGGTCTAAATTTGCATGCAGATATGCAGCATCAACATCAAAATGGTGCACTGCTAGTTGTCTTACAGCAGCAATGGAAAGCATTAAACGAAAAGTTTCACTCTTTACAGTGGGAGAAAACACTTCATCATAACTCTCCCCTTTAATCTGAGTGAACCCTCTGGCTACTAATCTGGCTCGAAAACGTGGTTCCCCAGATGCAAGGGTTTTCCTTTTATAAACCCACTTGCATGACACCACTCTGCCACCAGGTGGCGGCATTATGACCTCAAACACTTTGTTACGTTTAAAAGAGTTCATTTCTTCTTTCATAGCTTGTTCCCACAAAGCACGTTCTCCATGGGGTAAGTCTAAGACTTCATTATAACTTTGTGGTTCCACACAACTCACATTGCATACTCTCACTCCTCCTAGGGTCAAATGCTGAGGAGGTACACCCTTGTTTGAACGTTTGGAGCGCCTAGGCACAACTACTTCTTCTTCCCCCCTTATCTCTGGCTCTTCTTCCTCTTCCTCTAGAGAAGAAGTATTATCTATTGCCACATCTTTTGGGGAAATCTGTGCCTCCTCCTGCTCCTGCTCCTGTGTTGCCAATGGCTGAGAAGAAGCCTCTTCTGTTACTTGCAGGGGCAGTAGGCAATCTGGGTTGGCATGGATCGCAGTCCATCTGTCCTGCTCAGCAAAGTCTGCACTTCGTGACAGAACCGCTCGTCCTGGGCGTAAATTGAAACGCCACCTTTTGCCATAGGACTGATATCCCACAAACCGCAGTTTCTGCGCTCTAGCGCCCCCTTTCTGGCGCTGAGCTTTGGGAATATTTACATGTGCCCAAGCACCCCAGTTATGGAGCATTGTCCACTCTGGTTCTTTCCCAAACAACACACAATATGGAATATCTTTTATAGAGCTAGACCAGGTTCTATTAATCAAAAAGTTTGCTGTCAGAAAAGCCTCGCCCCACAGCCGATGGTTGTGGTCCAATCCTGCATCCACTAGCAGGCAGTCCTTTACTGACTGTATTACAGCCCCACGTCTTTCACACAGACCATTTTCAGCAGGGCTATAAGGGTTAGTCAAACGGTGAGTGATCCCCTTACGTCGCAACCATGTCCCAAATTGTTTGTTCAGAAATTCTCCGCCCCTATCTGTTTGCAACTGCACCACAGGGCGAGCGAAGAGCTTTTCAGCTTGGGCAACCCATTCTCTGAATGTGGGGAAACACTCAGATTTCTGCTTTAACAAAAACAGCCAACTAAAACGTGATTTGTCATCTATTACCAGAAAAGCATATCTGGCGCCCCCTTCAGTCTTCTGCGGAAAAGGGCCTATCACGTCACAATGGACAAGTTCTAAAACCTCTTTAGATACTCTGTCACTTTTAGAAGCCACAGGCTTCTTCTTAGATTTGGCCATTTTACATACATTGCAATCTAGGAAACAGTTACAGCTATTTACTTTTAGGTTCTTGCACACCTTTTGCATCTCTGCAAGCACACGGAAATTGGCGTGACCCAGTTTCCTGTGCAGTTCATGTACACACCCCTTATGAACTGGCAAATTATTCTGAACCACCTGGGCTGCTTTAACAGGCTTGTCCTGCATTACATATAACCCATTTTCCAACTTTGCATGGCCACATACCTGAGTTCCATTCTTTATCAGACAGCCATCCTGCGTGAACTTAACACTATACCCTGCATTAATCAAACAGCTTACAGACAGTAAACAATAGTCCAAACTGCTGACAAACAGAGTCTCTGGTAGAGTAGTGTTCAAGCACTGCAGGAAACATGTTCCCTGGCCATCAATCTTGCTTCTACGACCATCAGCAAGATAGATTGAGTCTTTTCCATCGGCTGGCTTCCCCAGGGTCTTAAAGTCCTCCCGACGGTTGCAGATAATCCTGCTGCTCCCAGAGTCCAGCAACCATGTTCCTCGAGGTATCTTCCTCTCCTCCCGAGAAAATGCAGACACAAACTGAGCAGAACGCGTGTTCTTCTTCCCTGAAGAGAACCCCTTCTGCTTACGTTTCTGCGTCCATTGCTGTCTCTGCTCCATGTCGTCTCCTGGAAGTCTTGCCCTGCATTGACGTTGGAGATGCCCGGGTTGGTTGCATCTATAGCACCTCCTCACCGCCATGGCCAAGTCCAAGCCTTGGCATTGCTCCATTGGCAGATTCTGCTGCTGGCCCCCTCGACTGTAACTCCTCCACTCTTGGAGTTCAGCCTGTCTATCTGACCTTCTTTCTGCTTCTTCGGTCAATTTTCCAACCACATACTCAAGGGTCAGATCTCGGGGACGCATACTCTCCATGCTGTTAATCACAGGCAACCAGCTTTCAGGCAAACTTGAAAGAATAATGTAGGCTTGGTCAGTCTCATCATAACGCTTACCTCTCTGCTGTAGTTGAAGAAACAGAGATTTCAGCGTTTGAAGATGAGTTGCCAAACTCTCACCTTCTTTCATAACAGTCCTGAACAGCCTTCTGGTCAGAGAAATTATAGTTCCAGCAGTTGCTCTGACATGCATTGCCCTTAATAAATTCCAGCACTCAAACGCTGTGCTGGCATTTGCTACATGCAATAACTGAGAGTTGCTCAAACACAGCATAATTTGGGCACGGGCCCTTTCATCCAGCCGTTTTTTCTCAGCAGAGTCCCATCTCGAAACCTCAGTTTCAACACAGTCCCATAGTCCATCTCTCCTTAACAACTGCTGCATTTTAATTGACCAACTCAGCCAGTTGCTCTCTGAGAGAAGTTCAAAAGGGATGCCTCCCCCAATATTTACAACTTGGGAAGACTGGAAATCTGCCATCTCTGCTGGTGCTTGCTGAGCCCCTTCTGGGGGGCCTTCAGCAATCTCTCCTGACTCTCTCTTTAGAGTCCAACTGGATGGTCCTGGCTGGCACTCACCGGCTTCTAGCAGCTGCCTCCGTTGACCCTCAGGTCCTGCCTGGCTCTGCAACTGGTGTAGCCGCTCTGTGAGTCGCCTGCTGTGGTCCTCTAGCAGTTCAAACTGTTCCAGCAGCCGATGCTGAGTGCTTTCCTGATCCTCAGATCCTAGCCGCTCCAGCGTTGCTGCAGACAGTTACAGCTTGCCACCAACTGCTCAAACGCACAGCCACTGGCTTCGTACACCACCAGGACTCACCAGCTCCCTGCTCAGATGCTGTCAGTCGTTTTGCACTCTGCACATGCTCAGAAACACTGGGCCCATAACCTGTCAGTGTTTGTAAAAAGCAAAAAAAAAAAGGGGGGGTTCTGACCTCCCTTTGTCTCTTCAGCCTGGTCCTCGGACCCTTGTCTGCATAAAAGAGTCCACGAGAATATTCTTGCAGAGTTTTATTCTTAAAAGTCTTTGTGCAAAACACGACTGAATAACTATACACACCAGCACCAACCAACCAACCAACCAACCCAACCTCCAGACACCAGCCTCAGCACAAACTAACATTTCTCACTTATATATACAACTTGCTGCAAGCCGCAAGTCTCCAGGCCCGGATGGCTTTATGGCAAAATATTATAAGAAATTAAATGAACAATTAGTGAACCCATTGAAAGATGTTATGAATGAAATATTGAACACAGGCGAAATCCCAGAAACATGGAAACAGGCCTATATAACAGTAATTCCAAAACAAGACGCAGATTTGCTGTAAATTAAAAACTATAGACCTATCTCCTTGTTAAATAATGATTACAAATTGTTTGCAAATATTCTAGCTAATAGATTTTAAAAAATATTAAATGAATATATACATCAAGATCAAGCTGGGTTTTTACCAGAAAGACAAATGAAGGAGGATATTAGGAATATTTTGAATATAATAGACTATTTGGAGGTTAAAAATGAAAAGAAAGTGGCAATGATGTTTATAGATGCTGAAAAAGCTTTTGATAATGTTTCTTGGAAGTTCATGCTAAAGCTGTTAGAACAAATCAGAAGCGGTTCTAAGTTTTTAAAAGGAATAGCAGCAGTCTATTCAGAACAAAAAGCCGAACTAATTATAAATCAGGTGATAGCAGATAATTGTAAGATCCAAAAAGGAATGAGACAAGGATGCCCATTATCACCATTATTATTTATCCTGGTCTTAGAAGTACTTGCCAAAAACATAAGAGCAGATAAAGAGATTAGAATCATAGAATCATAGAATCATAGAGTTGGAAGAGACCACAAGGGCCATCGAGTCCAACCCCCTGCCAAGCAGGAAACACCATCAGAGCACTCCTGACATATGGCTGTCAAGCCTCTGCTTAAAGACCTCCAAAGAAGGAGACTCCACCACACTCCTTGGCAGCAAATTCCACTGTCGAACAGCTCTTACTGTCAGGAAGTTCTTCCTAATGTTTAGGTGGAATCTTCTTTCTTGTAGTTTGGATCCATTGCTCCTTGTCCGCTTTTCTGGAGCAGCAGAAAACAACCTTTCTCCCTCCTCTATGTGACATCCTTTTATATATTTGAACATGGCTATCATATCACCCCTTAACCTCCTCTTCTCCAGGCTAAACATGCCCAGCTCTCTTAGCCGTTCCTCATAAGGCATCGTTTCCAGGCCTTTGACCATTTTGGTTGCCCTCCTCTGGACACGTTCCAGTTTGTCAATGTCCTTCTTGAACTGTGGTGCCCAGAACTGGACACAGTACTCCAGGTGAGGTCTGACCAGAGCAGAATACAGTGGCACTATTACTTCCCTTGATCTAGATGCTATACTCCTATTGATGCAGCCCAGAATGGCATTGGCTTTTTAGCTGCCGCGTCACACTGTTGGCTCATGTCAAGTTTGTGGTCAACCAAGACTCCTAGATCCTTTTCACTTGTACTGCTCTCAAGCCAGGTGTCCCCATCTTGTATTTGTGTCTCTCATTTTTTTGCCCAAGTGCAATACTTTACATTTCTCCCTGTTAAAATTCATCTTGTTTGTTTTGGCCCAGTTCTCTAATCTGTCAAGGTCGTTTTGAAGTGTGATCCTGTCCTCTGGGGTGTTAGCCACCCCTCCCAATTTAGTGTCATCTGCAAATTTGATCAGGATGCCCTTGAGTCCATCATCCAAGTCGTTGATAAAGATGTTGAATAAGACCGGGCCCAAGACAGAACCCTGTGGCACCCCACTAGTCACTCTTCTCCAGGATGAAGAGGAACCATTGATGAGCACCCTTTGGGTTCGGTCAGTCAGCCAGTTACAAATCCACTGAGTGGTAGCATAGTCAAGACCACATTTTACCAGCTTCTTTACAAGAATATCATGGGGCACCTTGTCAAATGCCTTGCTGAAATCAAGGTAGGCTACATCCACTGCGTTCCCTTCATCTACCAGGCTTGTAATTCTGTCAAAAAAAAGAGATCAGGTCAGTCTGACATGACTTATTTTTCAGAAATCCACGCTGACTATTAGTGATCACAGCATTCCTTTCTAGGTGCTCACAGACTGTTTGCTTAATGATCTGCTCCAGAATCTTCCCTGGTATTGATGTCAGACTGACTGGGCGGTAATTATTTGGGTCCTCTCTTTTCCCCTTTTTGAAAATAGGGACAACATTTGCCCTCCTCCAGTCTGCCGGGACTTCGCCTGTTCTCCAGGAATTCTCAAAGATGACTGCCAGTGGTTCTGAGATCACATCTGCCAGTTCTTTTAATACTCTTGGATGCAGTTCATCTGGCCCTGGAGACTTGAATACATCTAAACTAGCCAAGTATTCTTGTACTATCTCCTTAGTTATTCTGGGCTGTGTTTCCTTTGCTGAATCATTTGCTCCAAATTCTTCAGGTCGGGTATTGTTTTCTTTATCGGAGAAGACTGAGGCAAAGAAGGCATTGAGGAGTTCAGCTCTTTCTGTGTCCCCTGTTTGCATTTCACCATCTTCTCCTCTGAGTGACCCCACTGTTTCTTTGTTCTTCCTTTTGCTACGGACATACCCATAAAAGCCTTTTTGTTGCTTTTAACCTCTCTAGCAAGCCTGAGTTCATTCTGTGCTTTAGCTTTTCTGACTTTGTGTCTACACGTGCTGGCTATTTGTTTGAATTCCTCTTTGGTGGTTTCCCCCTTTTCCATTTTTGTACACATCCTTTTTAATCTTAACTCAGTTAAAAGTTCTTTAGATAGCCACCCTGGCTTCTTTAGGCACCTTCCATGTTTCCGTCTCATTGGTATTGCCTGAAGTTGTGCTTTTACTATCTCCCTCTTAACAAACTCCCAGCCATCATGAACTCCCTTTCCTTTTAGTATTACTGTCCATGGGATCTCACCCAGCATTTCCCTAAGTTTTATGAAGTCGGCTTTCTTAAAGTCAAGAAATTGAGTCCTAGTATGCTTGGCTGCTCCTTTCTGCTGTATAGTAAACTTCAGAAGAGCATGATCACTCGCGCCTAATGATCCTTCCACTTCTACCGCACTAACCAGGTCATCAACATTGGTTAGGACCAGATCTAAAATGGCTGTTCCTCTTGTTGCTTCTCCCACTTTCTGGACAATGAAGTTGTCTGCAAGGCCAGTGAGGAATCTGTTTGACCTTATGCTCTTGGCTGAGTTTGACATCCAACAAATATCCGGGTAATTGAAGTCCCCCATTACTACTATCTCCCTTCCTTTTACAGGTGTAAAAACTGGGAAAAGTGAGTTCAAGTTGAAAGCATATGCAGATGTCCTAGTGATAACAGTGGAAGAACCTAAAACTTCACTCCCTAAAGTAATAGGAAAAAATTCAGAAATTTGGGGAAGTGGCAGGATTTAACTAAATAGGAATAAAACTAAATTATTAGTTTAAAACATGAAGGAAGAAGAAAGAACCGAGTTAGAACAAAACATTGAGATTGAAGTCCATAAAAAGGTTAAATATTTAGGGATTTGGTTAACATCAAGAAATATAAACCTATTTAAAAATAACTATGAAAAAATTTGGCTTGAGGCAAAAAGAAATCTAAAAATGTGGAGTAGAATGAATCTCTCATTGTTAGGAAAATATCGGCGATTAAAATGAATGTGTTGCCAAAAATGCTATTTCTTTTTCAGTCAATACCAGTCATCCTGAAAGATGAATGTTTTTAAAAATGGCAGACAGAGATTTCAAAATTTTTCGGGGGAGGGCAAAAGGCCAAGGATAAAACATAAAATACTTACAACCAAAGTGTGGCGAAAGTTGTACTGGGATGCAATCTCAAGAATGATAGAATGATCTTGATACGTATCCAAGGCAGACCTTTTAACATCACAGTAATCCAAGTTTATGCACCAACCGCTGCTGCTGAAGAAACTGAAATAGACCAAGTCTATGACGACTTACAACACCTTCTAGAAATGACACCAAAGAAGGATGTTCTTCTCATTATAGGGGATTGGAATGCTAAAGTAGGGAGTCAAGAGATAAAAGGAACAACTGGCAAGTTTGGAATTCAAAACAGAAGCAGGGCAAAGGCTAATAGAGTTCTGCCAAGAGAACAAGCTGGTCATCACAAACACTCTTTTCCAACAACACAAGAGACGACTCTACACATGGACATCACCAGATGGGCAGCATCGAAATCAGATTGATTATATTCTCTGCAGCCAAAGATGGAGAAGCTCTATACAGTCGGCAAAAACAAGACCTGGAGCTGACTGTGGTTCAGATCATCAGCTTCTTATAGCAAAATTCAAGCTTAAACTGAAGAAAGTAGGAAAACCACTGGGCCAGTAAGATACAATCTAAATCAAATCCCTTATGAATGCACAGTGGAAGTGAGGAACAGGTTTAAGGATTTAGATTTGGTGGACAGAGTGCCTGAAGAACTATGGATGGAGGCTCGCAACATTATACAGGAGGCAGCAACAAAAACCATCCCAATGAAAAGGAGTGCAAGAAAGCAAAGTGGCTGTCCAACGAGGCCTTACAAATAGCGGGGAGAGAAGGCAAGCAAAATGCGAGGGAGATAGTGAAAGATACAGGAAATTGAATGCAGATTTCCAAAAAATAGTGAGGAGACACAAGAAGGCCTTCTTAAACGAGCAATGCAAAGAAACAGAGGAAAACAACAGAATGGGAAGAACCAGAGATCTGTTCAAGAAAATTGGAGATGTGAAAGGAACATTTCGTACAAAGATTACCGTAATAAAGGACAAAAGTGGGAAGGACCTAACAGAAGCAGAAGACATCAAGAAGAGGTGGCAAGAATACACAGAGGAATTATACCAGAAAGATATGGATGGCTCGTACACCCCAGGTAGTGTGGTTACTGACCTTGAGCCAGACATCCTGGAGAGTGAAGTCAAATGGGCCTTAGAAAGCACTGCTAATAACAAGGCCAGTGGAAGTGATGATATTCCAGCTGAACTATTTAAAATTTTAAAAAGATGATGCTGTTAAGGTGCTACACTCAATATGCCAGCAAATTTGGAAAACTCAGCAGTGGCCAGAGGATTGGAGAAGATCAGTCTACATCCCAATCCCAAAGAAGGGCAGTGCCAAAGAATGCTCCAACTACCGCACAATTGCACTCATTTCACACGCTAGCAAGGTTATGCTTAAAATTCTACAAGGAAGGCTCAAGCAGTATGTGGACAGAGAACTCCCAGAAGTGCAATCTGGATTTAGAAGAGGCAGAGGAACCAGAGACCAAATTGCAAACATGCGCTGGATTATGGAGAAAGCTAGAGAGTCCCAGAAAGACATCTACTTCTGCTTCATTGACTATGCAAAAGCCTTTGACTGTGTCGACCACAGCAAACTATGGCAAGTTCTTAAAGAAATGGGAGTGCCTGATCACCTCATCTGTCTCCTGAGAAATCTCTATGTGGGACAAGAAGCTACAGTTAGAACTGGATATGGAACAACTGATTGGTTCAAAATTGGGAAAGGAGTACGGCAAGGCTGTATATTGTCTCCTGCTTACTTAACTTATATGCAGAATTCATCATGCGAAAGGCTGGGCTGGATGAATCCCAAGCCGAATTAAGACTGCCGGAAGAAACATCAACAACCTCAGATATGCAGACGACACAACCTTGATGGCAGAAAGTGAGGAGGAATTAAGGAACCTTTTAATGAGGGTGAAAGAGGAGAGCGCAAAATATGGTCTGAAGCTCAACATCAAAAAAAAAAAGAAGATTTCCACCGCCCTATATTTTTTATCCTTTCAGCCAGGAGGCCTAAGTGTACCGCTGTAGTGGCTGCCCCAATCTGAAATGAATGAGCCACAAATTCCGCAGGGGGAAAGCCGCATGCAGCAATTGCCTTGCGCATGACGCGCGTAAACTGATGCCTTGTAAGGCGGGAGCCGTCCTCATGTATGAAGAAGGGGCCAGGGGCATTTGGTCTCAAATATAAGAATTGCCTTGTGTCCTTTACTGGGCATGGTCCCTTCTTTTGAGTTGCTATAAGACGAATTAGGGCCCCTTTACCTAATTGATCAGTTTTGGAGCTACGGATATGGAGAACTAAGTCTGAGCGAGATATATGGAGAAGTACGTCTGAAGGCGATAATGTCACATCCTTCAGTAAGGCGGCGAAAAAGGCAACAGAGTACGCTGCAGAAAATAAGCGTGCTTCGTACTTAGACCAACAGACAGACCTTAGTTTTTTATGAATTTGGCCCAGGATGTCGAATGTTATGGGTCTCCTACCATCTGCGCTGGGAGGCTGGAGCCTGCACCAGCCCTCCAGCACCTTCCGGACTATAAAGTCGGCGCAAAGATCTACCAGGGCCTTACAGAAGAAAGAAATCACTGAAGACTGAATGTTAAGGGCCTTAGGTGCACGGCCCATTCCACGCAAATGCACTAAATATTTCAGCACTTCTGCTTTTTGGGGGGGATTGTCCTGAGTAACAATGCCTAATTTAATACGGAATGCCAAGAAATCAGCCCAAGGTTTCTTATAGGATCTAAGCGTTGACGGGGCAACTGATGCTAATAGTCCCTTTTATTTTTTTATTTTTTTAAATGATATTTATTAAAGTTTCAAAAAAGTACAAAAAATACAGAATACAAAAAGAAAAAAAAATAAAGTTTTTTTTTAAAAAAATATAACCAAAGAAGTAAAAAATAAAAGAAAACATACCAGATAAAACAATTAAAAGGACATTAAATTTCCATAACCTATCTTCCTTATACTTATTTCCCCGGACCTCCTCATACCTCCCTTTTTTGTATTCCAGTTCAATTTGTTGATTCAGCAAATCCTTACCATTAAAATTACCCAGTTGCAAACCTTTTTTCATATCTCTTAAAGCATTACAGCTAAAACACCCCTTAGTTTCTATCCAACATCCTTCTAAGATTCCTTAATTTTACAATGTTTCTGTAAATAGTCTTTAAATTTCTTCCAGTCTTCTTTCACCATCTCTTCTCTCTGGTCTCGGATTCTGCCAGTCATTTCCGCCAGTTCCATGTAGTCAATCACCTTCATCTGCCATTCTTCCAGAGTGGGTAGATCTTGTGTCTTCCAATACTTTGCAATGAGTATTCTTGCTGCTGTTGTGGCATACATAAAGAAAGTTCTGTCCTTCTTTAACACCAATTGGCCGACAATGCCCAAAAGAAAGGCCTCTGGTTTCTTCGGAAAGGTATATTTAAATACCTTTTTCAATTCATTATATATCATTTCCCAGAAAGCCTTGATCTTTGGGCACGTCCACCAAAGGTGAAAGAATGTACCTTCAGTTTCTTTACATTTCCAACATTTATTATTGGGCAAATGATAGATTTTTGCAAGCTTGACTGGGGTCATGTACCACCTGTATATCATTTTCATAATATTCTCTCTTAAGGCATTATATGCCGTAAACCTCATACCTGTGGTCCATAACTGTTCCCAGTCAGCAAACATAATATTGTGTCCAACATCTTGTGCCCATTTAATCATAGCAGATTTCACCCTTTCATCCTGAGTATTCCATTTCAACAGCAAGTTATACATTCTTGACAAATTCTTAGTTTTGGGTTCTAGCAGTTCTGTTTCTAATTTTGACTTTTCCACCTGGAAGCCTATTTTCTTATCCAAATTATATGCCTCCATTATCTGACAATAGTGAAGCCAATCTCGCACTTTGTTTTTTAATTTCTCAAAACTCTGCAATTTCAGTCTATCTCCGTCTTGTTCCAAAATTTCCCAATATGTCGGCCGCTAATAGTCCCTTTTAGGACTTCTCGCTCCCAAGGCTCCAAAGGTGTTCCGGAAACGGTTGAGGCAATTGCTGTATATCCGGCGCCAATGAGCGGAAGCGATCCATCTGGAAGCGAGATAGAGCATCTGCGATATCGTTATTAATTCCTGGTACAAACTTGGCCGAGAAATAAATATTTAATTTTAGGCACAAAAGGACAAATGATCTCAGTAGAGCTGCCACCCTTGGTGAATGCGAGGATTGCCTAGCAAGTATGGAAACCACGGCCTGGTTGTCTGTCCAGAAGCACACCCGGTGGTCCTTGAACTCCTCTGCCGACAAATGCACCGCCACCGCTATTGGGAAAAACTCCAGAAAGGTAAGGTCACGTGTAATAGGTTTGCCTGCCAGGAAGAAGGCCACAGTTGCGCGCACCACTGTCCCCTGAAATAAACCCCGAAGCCAAGAGAACCTGCTGCGTCCGATTGAACTCGAAAGTCGGCCTGGAGTGACAGGTTGTCCTGCCATAATGAAATGCTGTTGTGTGTATCCAGAAACTCCAGCCATACCTCCAGATCAGACTTAACTGCTTTCGATAGGAGGACCCTGTGATGGGGAGAGCGTAAACCTGCTGACAATCTCGCCAAACGCCCACAAAAGGGGCGGCCTGGGGCTACAACCCGGCAAGCGAAGTTAAGGTGACCTAGGAGTGACTTGATTTGTCTGAGGGTAACCTTCCTAAGGGGCAGCAGCTGTAAGATGAACTCCTGAAGTGCAGCCAGCTTCTCCCTGGGTAAGCGAGATGTTTGGGTGATAGTATCAAGTTCAATGCCTAAGTATGTCATGGTTGTGACTGGGCCCTCTGTTTTGTCGTTCACTAAAGGAACGCCCAGCTCCTCTGCCAGTGATGTAAATGCTTGAAGCAAGGCTGCACAGTCGGGCGCATTACTGGCCACCAGAATAAAGTCATCCAAATAATGCCCCACCCCTTCGGAACCTGTCTTAAAGCGGAGGGCCCAGTCCAGGAAGGTGCTAAAGGTCTCGAAGGCTGCACAAACCACAGAACAACCCATGGGCATGGCCTTATCACTGAAATATGCCCCCTCAAACTTAAAACCCAGCCAACAGAAGTCTTCCAGATGAACTGGAAGGAGGCGGAAGGCCGACTCGATGTTACACTTTGCTACATAGCTCCCCTCCCGTATTTGCGAATAAGCTTTACCGCTTGGTCAAAGGAGGCATACTTAACAGAGCATAGCTCTTGTGGAATTGAATCATTAACTGAACTCCCCTTAGGATAGGAAAGGTTGTGTATCATATGGTATTCACAGGGGCCTTCTTGGGAACGATACCTAAAGGTGAAATATGTAAACCCTCAAAAGGCTCCATGAAGGGGCCAGCTACTCTACCAGCAGCAATTTCCTTGTGTATTTTCTTTCTAGCAACTTCTGGCGTGTCTTTTACTGATTTCTGATTAGGTGGGTTTCCGGAGTTGGGTGTGACTGAGACAGGGATTCTGAAGCCTAGGGAAAACCCCTCCCAAAGGTACCTAGCAGCTTGCCTATTTGGGTATAAGTCAAGGAGGGCTTTTAATGGATGATGTTTAATTGGAGAGAAGGCCAGACTGAGATTAGTATTAATAACGGTTTCTGGCTGCGCCCTGGGAGGGACTGGGGGCACCACGGTTACCTTGGTGGAAGTGCCCCCTGCCACCCCGAAAGGGCTGCTTACCTTTGAAGCATGCTGAGGCCGGGTGGTTACCCAGACATTTCTCGCACTCGTGCAAGTACTTACAAGTTGGCCGTAAGCATGTGCCTCTTTTATATTCCCAGCATTGCCGACGCCTTTTTGGCTTGACCTTCCCAGATTTTTGAGGGTCCTGTGGCTTCTTTTCCATGTAAGGGCCCACGTGCTCCATCCAATAGTTCTGATCCCGCAGATCCCATGGGGTAGTGGGCAGTAAAGAAGCATTTCTGTGAAAATCATCATACGTTAAGGCCGCCTCCTCCCCCGCCAGGGCAAAGGCCCTCCTAACGTGAGCAATGTAGGCCACGAGATGCATACTGCGTTTGGGATAACACGCACAAACTACCGCCATGTAAACCTGAAACCTATCCAGCCAGTTCTCAAAGTTGCGTTCAGCCCGTGGCGTCCTATACTTATGCCTACTGTAAGCCTGCTTCTTTTCCCCCTTTCTCGACACCTTCGCTCGTGGTAGTAGGGTGAATATGTCTATGTAGTCCCCATTAAGGATCCTTGCCCTTTTCCTTTTGGACAAGTGGTTACCCAAAATAAAATCGGTGGAAAGGTTAGTGGATGTTTTTACGTCCTCCACCAGCGCACCTCCCTTCCATTCCAGGGACCCATTGAATGTTTTACGGTGGGAATTAGCCCTCCTCTCATGAACCCACAAGGGGACCCCAGAAATATCTTCCCCAAGACTCCATTAAGCCTCCAGGGGGGGCATCGCTATCAGAATCTGAAGAGGAAGTACCTGATTCCTCCTCGGTGTCGGAACGCTTGCTCTTCTTGGTCTTCTTTGATTTATTTTTTTTCTTCGCCTTCCTTTTTCCTCCCTGTTGTTCAGTGGCGTCTGGGGCCTGTCCTGTGTTTACGGAAGCTTCAGACTGCGGCTGGGCCTCCTCCTCCTCCAAGGATGAAGCTGAACCGCCTTCAGAGGGCGCAATTTGAGAGGAGGGATCCTGAAATACACTAGGAACATCTATCTCTACCCACTGTGGGGCAGAGCGTTTAGGCCTAGTGGAAGAGGACCTACCCTCAGCGGCACTGGGTGTAGACTTTTTGTTGCGCGCTGACTGAGAGCGCGTGTTGGGTCGCTTACTTGTACTGCTGCCAGGCTGTGCGCTACTCAGGCTAGAGGCGGAGGCTGAAGTACCTGGCTGCTCCAGCATGCTAGGTGGAGTGTCTGGAATACAGTCCTGAGAACTTAAAATTGGCAAAGCCGACCCAGCAACCCTTTGCCTACATTGCAAATAGAAGGTTTCAAAAGCTGAGAAAAATTGAGCGAAAGCCTGAGGGTTGCAAGGCATGGCTGGGGTCTGGGGGCCACCCTGTGCGCTGAGCCCACTTCCATTGTTAGCGGATGCGTTAGCATTACCCCTGTTAGCCATATCAAAGCAGCTATTAATTGGCACGAAGCCCAGACAAAAATGCTCTTGGAAACACTAAGACTCAAATATAGCACTAGGCAACCTAAGCACCTTATTTAATGTTAATTAGGGAGTGAATAACCAGCAACCCTGTGGAGTAAATGTCCCTGCTGACTAGGCAGAAGTAATGATGCCCTGAAAATCTACAGCAGCGTTAACTTGGCAATAAACTGCACTTAAATCAATCAGAGTTGAAATTAATAAGCCTCAAAATCAATGCACACGCACTAACCCTTACCCCAAACAAATAAATCCTTCATCAGGGGGAGAGTGATGAATTGTCCAAATGAATTAACATAAAAAGCCCCTAACTGAATTTAGAATTTAATACTTTAGATGGTAGCACTCAAATAACTGAGCCTCCGCTGCAGGCCGCAGCATGTAATGATTATGCTAATAAATTTCCCAAGTGATCGGCACTTTAGGAATTAGCACTCAGCACTTTAAAACGATTAACAGATTTACCCGATATAAAACAAGCAGCTGGCACTTTGGGAACAAGCACTCAGCACTTTGTTACTGTTAAAGGATTTTCGTATGTGCTACACAGTTACCCTGCCGCAAAAGGGGGAAGAGCGTTACAAGGTTTCAGCTACAGGCACACAGTAGCCCTGACTGAGCGTTGCAGAGCTACAGCTACAGGCACAAAGTATCCCTGCCTGCAAAGGCAATCTAGGCGAAGGCAGCCAGATGCCTCTCCTAAAATGGCGGCCGCTGTGTGACCACGTGGTCACCCTTTTAAAAATAGTGGCGGTGATTGTTGTTACCGTAGCAACCGCGTACTTGGTCCACCTTCCAAAGGGCGTAATGCAAGGCTAAGGAGGGGAATTTACAGACAGGAATTAAGCCCCCTTCTCCCGTGTGGCTAGAAGCTACCGGGTCCTTTCTGCGCGAATGTGAGTCCCCCCCCCCCCGGCAAAAGCAAGTGTTTGGCGATCGCCGTAAAGGCGCTGCACAATGATTTTAGGGGAAGCTCTGAGCAAGCAGTTACAGCAGCAGCTGAGATACCTGGCTGCGCCCCCACACAAATTCCCTTAAAGTGGTATCGGGCTGCTCCCTCCCCAACGCAGGAGCCCCCACAGATCAAGGAGCCCAAAATAGATCCCACCTCGTGCGGTTGCTGCAGCAAACCGCGTCTCAGGCGCGCCCACGCTAATCCGATGCTCTCCGCTCCCTCTTAATGCTGTACAGGGGCACACGGGATGGCCAGGCAGATCGCTGTTGCTGAGGTGAGGAGGAAAGCCGGCGGCAAGCCAAACAGGAAGGTAGAGAACCCCAGGCGGGAGAAGCTCCTCCCGGGAGATGATCAGCAGCAAAGGGGGAACCGGCACGGTAGCAGCAGCAGGCAGGGAACTCTGCAGGCAGGCAGCAGCCGCTGGAGGAAAGCCGGCGACAAGCCAAACAGGAAGGCAGGAAAAAAACCCAGGCGGGAGAAGCTCAGGTGATCGGCAGCAAAGGGAAGCCGGCGCGGTAGCAGCAGCAGGGAGGGAACTCAGCAGGCAGGAAGCAGCCAATGTACTTTCCTCCGCTCCCTCGCTCCTCGTGCTGCGGTACGCAAAAATAACCTACTAAAAGGCAAAAACAGGGGAAAAGGCAAAGCAGACAATCCACGCAAGCAAGGTATACAAACCAAATTTCCCAGCTGATCGGCGGCAAAAGAGGAAGCTCCTCTGCCGCGCTTGCCTTAAATGCGGCAAGCCACGCCCCCTGAGCCAGCCGCTAGGCTGGCCAGGGGATGACGCGGCAGAGGATTCCCCCTGTACGCGTGGGGCTGTAAGCCAGCCTCCGCACGGGTGTTGGGGCGGGAAGCCCGCAACCCCACCTCCTCCCTAGGGTCAGAAGTGGCTTTCACTTACAAAGAACCAGCATTTGGAAGTGGATTCAGTACGGACTAAAACAAAGGACAGTTGTCAACCCTCCCCTCTGGGGGGCAGGAAACTGTGAACTTCTCTTTGTCCTCTGGAATGTACGCTTGAGAAGGGAGAGGGGAGGAACAAGACAGGTGTCAAGACACTCAGGATACAGCCTCAACCCCTCCCTCAACCCCTCCTTTTTGTGATGTATCAGTGATGTAGTTATTCTGGGATATATTGATTTATTGCTCAGATAAGCGTCCGGCACGCTTCCCCCATTGCGTAGGCCTCTGCATTCCAAAGGGCACATTCCGATACTTCTGAGCATAGCAGAGTCCGTCAGCGGTAAGAGGAAACCAAAACACTCCCGTGCATTCTTCAGTGTGCTTAAATGAAGTCCACTCAGGATCTTGGCAGCTAAAAGCAGCTTTATTTACAGCAGGCTATCCATTATCTATCACAGCGAACAGCATCGCGAAAACACGTCCTCTCTCCTCAAAAGCGAAAGTAGAGAGACAGAACAAAGACTTTAGTCTCTCGGAACTGACGTAGCATTTCCCCCCTCCCACCAGTAGGCAGGGCGTACAGTCTGAGCTGTTTAACCCTGTAAGCTCAGGTTTTCCTCACACCCCCTCTCGCCCTGCGCTACTGTGGGGAAAGTAAGTACAGAACTTACCCTCAACTCCAAACCACCACAAAACTCCCCATGACGCTGGAAGCTTAAAGGTTTGGTAAATCCATCGGCCAGGTTACTGTGACTGGCACAGTACTTCAGTCGTATCAAACCTGACTGAACATTCTGACACACATTTTGGAAACGTATGTCCAGGTGCTTGGTTCTCGCCTTAAACTGCGCAGATTCAGCCAACTTCAAACAAGGCTGATTGTCTTCCCAAACCGTGATGGGCAAGCTGCAATCCCCATAGATCTCTTGCACCAAGCATCTATAGAACTCAAGTTCTCGGCACAAGTCTGACAGTGCACTGAATTCAGCCTCAGTAGAAGACAGCGCAATGAGACTTTGCTTCCGGGACTTCCACCCAACCAGTGACTTCCCAAACTTTATCACCAACCCAGACACAGACTTGCGGTCCTGCGAGTTCGCCCAGTCACTGTCCGCATAGCATGTGAGCTTCGCCTCACCTTCAGCTGGCAGCTTAAGACAGAAGTCTTTGGTATGCTGCAGGTAGCGCAGTACCCGCTTGATACCGTGCCAAGCACTCACACTGGGCTTTGACGCTTCCCTACTTAGCAGGTTGGTAGCAAAGGCAATGTCTGGTCTGCTCCATTGGGACAGATACAACAGACTACCTAGAGCTGACTGAAAGAGCTCAGCATTCTCAAACTCAGCACTTTCTGCTTGCTGGCTATCTTTCACGAAGTTCGTCTCCATGGGTGTCCGAACTCCTGCACAATCGGACATTCTGAACTTCTCCAGCAACTGCTCAATCTTGCCTTTCTGACTGAGCAAGAAGCTACCATCCTCAGTTCTCGCTATCTGGACGCCTAGGTAGATCTTTACTGCACCCAGGTTCTTGAGCTGAAACCGTTTCCCAAGCTCTTTGGCAAACTTCTGCACCTGTTTGTCTGCCTTTCCAACATGGATGATGTCATCAACGTAAAACAACACCAGTTCCTGTGAGTCTCCTGATCCTCTAAGGAACAGGCAACTGTCAGCAAGACTCTTCCTGAAACCTAGCTTCTCCAAAGCTTCATTCAGGCACAAGTTCCAATTCCTGGCCGACTGCTTCAGGCCGTAAATTGACTTGTGAAGTTTCCACACAGTACCTCGCTCATTGCCCTCAAACCCAGGAGGAGGAAGCATGTACAGATCCTCCTGGAGGTCTGAGTTCAAGTAAGCAACATCCACATCAAAGTGATGCACCAGCAAACCTCTTTGTGCAGCGATGGCCAAGACCAAGCGTAGAGATTCACTCCTACACGTGGGCGCATAACTCTCCGTATAATGCAACCCCCTGCGCTGCGTGAATCCTCTCGCCACTAATCTGGCCTTATACTGCGGTTCTCCTGCCGCTGTGGGCTTAAGACGGTAAACCCAGCGACTACCCACTGCCTTTTCACCCACTGGCAACTTCGTGAGGGAGAACACACCTAGAGACTCCATTGAGTTCATCTCCTTCTGCATCGCCTCATGCCATTTCCTGGCTTCTTCCTGAGGCAGTTTCTGAACATCCTCAAAACTCTCGGGTTCACACTGTGCCATTCCGACCCACACACTAGTGACGGCAAACCTTTCAGGAGGTTTCCCCTTGGTCGTCCGTGTTGAACGGCGCAGCACTACTTCAGGAACCCCCTCTGACCCACTAGGGCCAGCCAGAACGTCCTTGGCATCAGAGAGCTCCCCCTCTGACTTACTGCGCCTTCTGGACTTCTCAGCCGAACCTGTGGGGAAGATGGAGCACTGCGTTGCTCACTCTTCACAGCCTTGGGAGAAGTTCTCCCCTCTGCCTGCACTGGGTCTGGACTCTGAGCCTCAGTCGCAGGTTCAACCTCTTCCTCTCCTTCATCAGCAGAGTCTAGCAGACTCTCTGACAGGATGTCAGGGTTCCCATGTATCCTTGCCCAGCCACTCTGCTCACAGAATTCAGCACTGTTGCTGGGCGGAATCCTGGACTGATCCCCTGACGGATACGCAAACCTCCACCCCTTGGTCCCTGGCTCCATACCCACAAAAATCATCTTTTGGGACCTGGGTTCACCTTTCTTGCGTTTGGCCTTTGGTATGAGGACCCAAGCCTCACAGCCAAAACGCGGAGTAGTGCACTTTCGGTTTCTTGCCATGGAGCAAGAAATACGGTGTGTCACCTCCCACTGAATTGAACGACCTGTTCAGAACAAAGTTGGCCGTTCGCCAAGCCTCCCCCCAAAAACGCTGTGGGAGCCCGGCATCAAACAAAGAGCTGCGGACATCTCCCCTAGAGTCCTATTCCTGCGTTCCGCGAGCCCATTCTGTTGGGGACTGTGTGGAGAAGTCAACCTGAGTTGAATCCCTTTTTGCGGAAGAAACTTTGCAGTGCAGACCCGGTAAACTCCCCACCGCGATCGCTCTGAAAGTTTTGCACCCGTGTGGAAAACTGCAGTTCCACAGCCGCAATCCAGTCTTTGATTAGCGGCGCAGCTTCATCTTTGCGCCGAAGCAAAAAACACCAAGAATTCCTCGTATGGTCATCAATCAGAACCAGCGAAAATTTGGCTCCGCCCAAACTGCTCACAGAAAATGGTCCACACAAATCTGCATGAATTAATTGAAAAGCCCTAGTGGTCACCCTCTCAGACCTAGGGTATGTGCACGTTTTCACCTTTGCGGACTTGCACGCTCTGCAATCTAGAAACTTAGCACATGATTTCATTTTGCACCCTTGCGTATACTCTGGGATCCTCATCACAGACCCCCACGACACGTGTGACATGCGTCGGTGCCAGAGATGTTGACACGCATCATGAACTGGAACATTGGCACACTGCGCTGAGGCCTCCTCTGTGTCATCCGTGTCATCTGGACCTGCAAAAGAAGCATTTATCACAAACAACCTGTCTTTACATTCAACACTAACTAGGTGCTGTCCATTCTTGGAAATAGAACACTTATTGTTCTCAAAACACACTCTGTAGTTTTCAGCAAGAAGTGCACTGACAGACAGCAACGCGCAGGACAGTCCTGGAACAACAAAAGCCTGGATTGAGTCCTGCAAGAAAGAACAAAACAGTAAGCCACTCTGCGTGAGTGGGTGTCGAGTCCCATCTGCTAAACAGACAGTCTTCCCAGATTTTACAGAGGTGCAGTTCTCCAGGAATCCACCAGATGGCACAAGATGATGCGATGATCCTGAGTCGATAACAAAAGCCAGCTCTGCATCCTGTTGACAACTTTTGACTACAGCCATAGAGGCAGCCAAATGTTTACGTTCAGTGTCTCTGCCAGCTGCCTTCGGCTTGCCTTTCCCACGCTTTGAAGACAGAGCTCTTTATCTGGTTGCTACGGGAGACGGCCTTGGGCTGTTCCTCCACTGGACATTCTCTCACCAGATGGGAGGGGAGCCACAGCGATAACAGCGGCAGCGCGTAGCAACAGCTCTCACAGCTCCCACCTCAGCCATTCCTTTGTTCCCAGCACCCCCACCTTTGGGTGCACAGCCTGGGCCTGCACGCTCCCCAGCACTCTGGTTGTAGGCCTCAACATCACCACGGCCCCTCGGAGACAAAGCAGCTACTCCCAGCTGTAACTTTTGGAACATGGCCAGCAGCCCCCTCTGGGCTCTCAGCTTCCTCCCTGCTCTCGGCTTTCTCCCGGCCCTGGGCTCCTGCTGAGTTCTCACACAGACTCCTCAGCACCTGCCAGGCGGCCTGAGCCGACTCAACGCCCTCCAGGTGGGGCAACAGGATAGCGTCCACGCTTGCTCTCAACATGCAGAGCTCCCTTTGCATTCTCAGCTCTCTATCTTCCAGGAGAGCAGCCTCCCGGTCTGCTCCTCCTTCTTCAGCAGCAACTGGCACGGGTGGGGCAGGCTCCTTCTGGGCTATATCCCAGAACCCTGTGGCCAAAAACCACCCCCTGACTCTTCTAACCCAGATATCCCAGGACTGGGTTGTGAGCTTTCAGAGCGGGACATCATAAAAGTCCTGGAGCTCAGCCATCTCCTCCCCCAGTGCTCCCATCATTGGGGCTTTGAAGTACTCACGCGTACCAGCCAGCTTCAAAGGAGAGGCCTCCAGTGGCTCTTTGCAGCACACAGCATTGTATCCAGCTTCCCTGCTTTCTCCCAGGCAAAGCCTCAAGGCAGGACGTTTGCCCTCCGGCAGCAAAAACAACAGCGTCTCAGTTTCTCAGCCTTTTTAAGCACACAGCACATCAAAGGCAGGCTTCCTCTAATTGCAATTACTGCCTCCATAACCTCTGGGATATATTGATTTATTGCTCAGATAAGCGTCCGGCACGCTTCCCCCATTGCGTAGGCCTCTGCATTCCAAAGGGCACATTCCGATACTTCTGAGCATAGCAGAGTTCGTCAGCGGTAAGAGGAAACCAAAACACTCCCGTGCATTCTTCAGTGTGCTTAAATGAAGTCCACTCAGGATCTTGGCAGCTAAAAGCAGCTTTATTTACAGCAGGCTATCCATTATCTATCACAGCGAACAGCATCGCGAAAACACGTCCTCTCTCCTCAAAAGCGAAAGTAGAGAGACAGAACAAAGACTTTAGTCTCTCGGAACTGACGTAGCATTTCCCCCCTCCCACCAGTAGGCAGGGCGTACAGTCTGAGCTGTTTAACCCTGTAAGCTCAGGTTTTCCTCACAGTTATGATGTAGCAATGATGTAGTTTTAGGGGTGTAGCATGGGGATTAGGAACTGATAAAAGTCGGGGTCTCTTCGTGTTCGGGGCTTCCATTTTGCTTCATCTTGTTGTGAGTGGGAGTCCTGTCACAACAGTTTGCAATCAAGACCAAGCCTACTGGATGCTGCTTTGCTCTGATATTCCTGGCTGGTGTCTTCGTTTTTGTCCAAGGAAGCTCTTGAATTTCTCTGTTAACAGTTTGGCGACCATACAAAGGGATGCTTGGTTCTCCTGTGGAGGTGAGGAGGGAAATAGAGGGGATCGGGCGCCACTGGGCAGCCTTGACCCAGGGATCCTTTTCTTTCTTCCTGCCTTCCCTTTGTGGGCGGTAATCAACTGTCACCAAAAGGCTCAGCCAGGAGGAGCAAAGGCAAGGTCAAGCCGTCCAACCAAGGATCATTGAGGGACGTTCCTAGAACGTGAGTATGGTTGGAAGCAGTGCACTGGGACAAGGGTGAAGGGGGGTGATGTCTCCACGGCACCTGAAAGACTAAACTCTTTTCTTTCTTTACGTCGACTCCTCGACCCAATCCATCGGTGGCTGCCCAGAGAGGGTTGTGGGGCTCGACTTTCTTTCTCTCCCTTTCCACCTCTATATACTATATTGCCCAAGTGCAGCTGCACCTCCTTCACGAAAACCCTTGTTGGGGATGACACGTGAATGTGAGACTGCAAGGTTGTTTGTTCCTTTTCAAACTCTCATTCTCAGGTCCTGATCTGGCATTGCACTGTGCAAGCGTCCAGTAAGGGATTCCGAACCTAGCTTTTGGTGCCAGCAGGAAGTTGCCATGGACGGTAGAACAGGAGGTTCACCGAGGAAAGATGGGGCACCACACCAAGTTTAGTTATACAGGCAGAAATAGTTGTTCAGGCTTGTGTCCCGTGGTTTTTCCAGGCTTGTGTCACTTGGGTTAGTTGAAATGTATTGTAAGAAAGAATGCACTTTGAACCCTTAACTGACAGAGACATTCCTTTTGTCTTTCCCCCTCCTTCCCCCCCCCCCTTCTTCAAATCATCACACACGTAGTGCTATCTATAGAAAGTGTCTAGACTAATACCCCAAAATTCCTTAATTCCAAGCTCGGACACCCTCAAGGGTGATGGGAGCACAATCCTCTAAACACGGCTATCGTACCTCCCCGGCACCCAGGTTTCTAGGAAACCTTCTTGCTTGCGGGAGGACTCTGACACCCCACTCCAATTTGTACTCTCCAACTGGAAGAACTTGAGGGGGCCGAAGGGTCTCTCCAAGTCTAAATTAAAGGACCTTTGCAATCATTCATGGGTAGCTTACACCCACTGCTTAGAAGCAAGATCCAAATGGCCACCTCAAGGTTCTTTCAATGACATAAGAATCCAAACCCTCAAACGCTATTTAGCAGACGAAAAACCTTGCCAACTGTATTACCTCAACGCTTTTACGGAGGCATAAGATCTTTTTAAGCACCAACAACTGCAGGTCGCACAGCAGATGGCAGTATTAAAAGCACATTCGATCAGACCCCCGCCATATGATGAAATCCAAGCGCAGGAATATCAGTTAGACAGGACCCTTGTTCCTTTTTATTATCCTGAACCAATGAGACCTCCACTGCCTGGCAACGGGGGAACTGGGTCACCCCCTAACTTGCCCCAAGGTCTACCAGCAGGAAGAGGGGGAGGACTGCCTAATGCACCTCTGGCCCAAACCCAAACCCTGCTTGTAACAGAGGGGGGCAGTCCTGGCAATCCATCAGCAAAGAATTCCACAGATGAGGAGGATGGAGCACCAGTCTCCAGCCGAACACGCCAGAGAAATAACCTCCCTAATGGAGAGATAGAGACTGTACTTCCTCTCAGAGCACTACCTATACCCCCTGAAAGGCATGGAGACCCCCCCTTTGCATGGTCTTTACTCCTCAACCTTTTCTCATAAGTGATTTAATGAACTGGTCAGATAAAATGCCTTCCCTTCGAGATGATCCAGATAAATGCCATCGACAAGTCGCCACCATTTTTCGCACACATAATCCAACGTGGCCCGACATACATATGTTGCTAAATGCCCTTTTCAA